ACTAATAAAATTATATTTTCAGTGCTGACGGTTTTAGCTAGCTTTTCGTGCCAAGCCGCATTTCAAAATTGAGCAATATATTCCGGTCACGAGAAAAAATGAAGATTAACCCATTGCGGACCACTGGAATCGACTTAAGCCGTTCACTTCTTTAAACTTTTGTTTTTGAATGGTGCGTCAAGTGGGTTAAGTTAAACTTATTCAGTTCGTTCCCATAAGCAGTTGTTTTTTCGCTCTCTCTTAATCGGAGAAAGCTGTCTTTTAACCAGTTCACAACAATGAGCCCCATTCCATGTACAAAAGCTGCGCCAACATTAAATTTGTATAGTCCAGACTCATGTACCGAGAAAACGCGCAGAATTGAGCAATAGGAACGATTCCTCTCTTTTTTTTTTGTTTTAACTTTTTCGCTAAACCCTTTTTAAGGCAAACATTTTAGCGCAGTTCAGGTGAAAAATAAATGGTGGGTTTTTTAAGTTCAGAGGAAGATGGCATGAATCTACAAGAAGAATTTCCAATCAGTAATATTTGCCGCCATTTAATTCAAGTCGTTGTTTAAATAGAGGGGGTTTAAGTGGGCTAAGTTCGGTTTTTCATCATAAGCCGATTAAGTAGAAAATTGATTAATTTATAGGATAAAATTATGTGGGCCGACCTGGAGTTCTATTGAGCTTGTAATTTTCCATGGAATATCCAAATCGAGGAATATGCGTAATAGAACTTGAATTCGTCAGTATATTTACTATATATTTTTAAAATGAGACGGTATATTTTGGTATATTTCTGAGGGGCGGGCGGTATATGTTAACGATAAATCCGCGGTCCCACTGTTCTCCAGCTAAAATCCACGGGCCGGCCGACAAGGTTGCTGACGAATTGTAAGTGCGAAAAATCAAGGGAAAAATTGCATAAGCATCTTTAATCAAACTCAAATCTGTAAAAAAAATATTGGGCAGATCAAAATTTTTTGTAGACCCTCTCCTGTGGCCCAGATTTTTCTGTCGTAAGTGAAATTTACGTTTGCCGTTCGGACCGCGCCGCTGAAAATTCTTGGCACGACGTTATGTAACCTAGAAAAGTGTTGGCCACGGCGCACAGAAAAGGGGCTAAAGACAGTGCAGAGCAGCTGATTGAATTAGATAAGCACATGTCTTTGAACACTAATTGAGAGCGGAATTTCTTCCTCTTCCTGCAGCTCACCTCTCACCGCAGCTGCAATCCAACAAAAACAAGAGCTACTACCATGTTCTCGACCTTCTATGAAACTGCCAGGAACTCTCCGTTCCGCAGCCCCTTGGGCCAAGTTCAGTGCGAGGGTGCTCCCGCTGTGACCTCCTCCCACGAACTGGACCTCGAGCCGGTGCATGCCCGTCAGATAAGTGCAGCTGCCGCGACCGTTGATTCGTGCGAGTTCGGTAGCAACAAATACTTTGCCCTGTGCGGAATCGGTGGAATTCTCAGCTGCGGAACCACACACACCTTTGTGGTGCCCCTGGATTTGGTCAAGTGTCGCCTGCAGGTTGATCAGGCGAAATACAAGAATCTGTTCCATGGCTTCAAGGTCACCGTTGCCGAGGAGGGCGCCCGCGGTCTGGCCAAGGGCTGGTTCCCCACTCTGCTGGGCTACTCTGCTCAGGTAAGTCTGCCGGTTACGCAACCCTCTAATCACGGAAACGTGACCAAGACAAAAGCAGCCACGCAACAGCAGCTGATAACCCAATACACAATGGAGGTTAATTACCTTTCTGGCTATGTCTTCTGTCTGGTGTCTGTAGGGTCTCTGCAAGTTCGGCCTGTACGAGTTGTTCAAGGTAAAGTATGCCAATCTGCTTGGCGAGGAGAATTCCTATCTGTACCGCACCTCGCTGTATCTGGCCGCCTCTGCATCAGCGGAGTTCTTCGCCGATATTGCCCTGGCTCCGTTCGAGGCTGCCAAGGTTAAGATCCAGACTGTGCCCGGATTTGCCAACACCTTCCGCGAGGCGGTGCCCAAGATGCTTAAGGACGAGGGTATTAATGCCTTCTACAAGGGTCTGGTGCCATTGTGGATGCGTCAAATCCCATACACCATGATGAAGTTCGCTTGCTTTGAGCGCACCGTTGAGCTGCTCTACAAGTGAGTCTGAAACTAGAAAGTGTTGGAGAATCCCTCCCAATCAATGTTTTATCCTGCTCCTTTTCCTGCCAGGTATGTGGTTCCCAAGCCCCGTGTTGAGTGCTCAAAGGGCGAGCAGCTGGTCGTCACCTTTGCCGCTGGCTACATTGCTGGTGTGTTCTGCGCCATCGTGTCGCATCCCGCTGATGTGGTCGTGTCCAAGCTGAACCAGAGCAAGGGTGCCAGCGCTGTGAGCGTGGCCAAGTCCCTCGGCTTCAGTGGCATGTGGAACGGCCTGACTCCACGTATCATTATGATCGGTACCCTGACCGCTCTGCAATGGTTCATCTATGATGGTGTCAAGGTTGCTCTGGGCATTCCCCGCCCACCACCCCCAGAGATGCCCGCTAGCCTGAAGGCCAAGCTGGAGAAGCGCTAAGTGGAAACGACGGGCAGAACTCAATGATCCACTTGTAGTTTAAGGCCAGAGTTGATGCGTTGGCGCGGATTCGGGCTAAACCAGGAGCAATAGCAGCAGCAGCAACAGCAGCATACATTTACTTTCTTTCGATTATGAAACGAGGTTATTCGTTTTAAGATTATATATTTAATTTCTATAGATTTTTAATTTCTAATTTCAATGTTGTGTGTGAGCGATGGACACATGGACATTCCAGTAACACTTCATGCATTTCTCTATCAGCCATTTATCTACACTACACTACAAAACGCAACTTAAGCTGTCAGCAAATCTTACATTCTATAGGCGAATCTATCTTATGTAACTTATACTACCCGCAAGCTAAAAGTATTCCAACTATAATTTTACACATATATATATATATCTAAAAATAATGTGTGTGCCTAGCTGGCTCACGCTGGCTAGAATGTTTCTGTGTTGTCTTGACTCCTGAGCTTCTTCCCATAGCCCGGCCGCCCACTTTAACACCTTCCCCGTCTCCTGGTCCTGCCCCTGTCACACATGCGAATATGATATTACGCTGTTTCAATTGTTTGATCCGATCCCCAAGAAAGCACTCTGAATAAATTAATTTATAAAATACATCAAACCATGCATTTCCAATCTCTATCGATGGCTATCTTTCTATCTAAAACTGGTTGTAGCTTGGATGACATCAGTTATTGTTTCGAGATAACCTTATGACCAACTAAGTGCTGTTATTCCCTGACATTGAAATGAAATTTTGTATGGGACCTTTTATTGGATGGGAAGAGTATTCTCAAGAGTGTTAGGTATGTATTATAGAATGTTTTAGGGATCATTTTACGAATATTAACGAATATCTTGCTTTCAGTATTCACAGGACAATCTGCAGGAAGCAAAATACATGGGATATAGGATTTTAAGCTAATGTTTAACTGAGAATTCTCATTCTCTCTCTCTCTGTCTCTCTCTCCCTCACACATCCACAATGTAACCCGTTCAGTGTGCGCTATTTGGCGGAAGAGAGCGAGAGAAAATGACTGGTGTTGCTGTGAGAATAGAAAAAAAAGAGACGGAAGTAAATACAAAATATAAAGAAAAATGAAAATCGAATATATGTATATAAAAATATACCAAACGGCTCGACCGATTTTTATGAAATTTTTGTTGGCAACAAATCAAATTGCGTCTTTTGCGAACAGCGATACCAAACAATATATAAAATATATTTTATAAATTACATAAATAAGCTCACATATACTGACTGAGTACCGGGTATGAAACTAAGGCCACGGCCTTTGCCGCTCCTCACAACGTCCCCCTCGTTAATTTCTGTGACTCCGTAATGTATACGATTGAAAAAAATCGATTCCACATCTGGAAAGAATCGACTGAGCCTCTAAACTCGGTTTCTAAATCGATTTCAAGTTGTGACAAGATCGGCCAAATTGCGGCCTAAGGTTTTCCGAATCGGTACGGTATGAGCCACGGCTGACTGGTTTTCCAAATCGGCTCTAGTATACCGATTCATTGGTCAACCAAGGCGACGCAAATTAATTCAGAATCGGCTCCAACTGCCGAGGATTTGGTTTTCGAATCGAGACCGAAGCTCCACTTTTAAGTGACCCAGTAGAACGGTCTTTCTGTATGAGATGGTGGTAATGAACTTTTACCATAGTTCGAGCCAAATTGAACTTATTCCTAAGCTGTTTTGCTGGACTTTATGGTGTCCAGAGTATATTACCTAAAGAAGTCCAGCATGGCGAAGAACGAATCAAAGTGCGCCTAGCACGGATACGAAAAGGACGCCACTTCGGTCGATACCGTTAAAATCACAAGAAAACATGTTTTCGATATGGTTTTTTATTTTGTTAATTTTGTATTTTGTTTATGAGCAATGAGCATAATTATATAATATAATGGCTCGTTGTGTCATACTCTTTTTAAAAACTAAATAATCATAGGGTTCTCTCTCGCACTGTATATATATATATGTCTATGTATATGTATGCACACATATACACATATAGTTGATTCATTCACATTATCAGTTTGGCGCCTTACTAACTAAATAACCTCTAAGGACTACGAACTAGGCATCTTTACAAGTTGTAACTAAGCTCAGACGCATATAAATGTATTTAACAGGCAATTTTCTGGTATATGTATGTATATTGTTTGCTTTGTTGCTGTATGTACAATTCACTTAAATCTAGTTAGGTTTATTGTATTGTGTAGTATATAGTCGGCGAATGGGATCTCACAAAACAATTATGACACAGAATTTCGCTGTCTGTTATGTGGTGATGCAAGTATGTTGCTGCTATTATGTTATAATATAGTATATTGCAGGACGTGTTTTCTTCTCCGTAACAAGCCATTTCAGTCTTAGCGTTTCAAGTAACCAAAAGGAAAAATTAAATGATTTCAAATGAAAAGAACAAAAAATTAAGAAATTATACATCGAATAAACTTATGAACTAAAATGTTTTATTTTTGTGGTTTTTTCTGCATTATATTTAATGCGCCTATTTTTGTTTTTTTTTGTTTGCTATTTTTTCTTTATTTATTTTGCAGTTGAAGAAAATTTCGAAACAATGGTTCGCTAGGATAAGTCACGCCATGAGCTTCACTTCCTTTCATTATTATAGTTTATTTTTCGTTTGGTTTCTTTAAATCTAATATCAGTTATATCGATGTAGACAATCACACAGGCAAATAGGTAGACATGTACACAAATCAAGTTTTTTTTTAGAAAATTCTTTCCAATAAACATACAAACAATTAAAAAAAAATAAAAAAATAGTATGTCTAAAAGATATGATCTTGAAATTCCATGGGACAAACATACAAAATTCGGGGGTTGGCTTAGTTAAAGTAGTTATGGGCCCTCGTCTCGTCTCTCATCTAGTGTAGAGAAAATCTCTAGTCAATGGCACTTTAATTTGGGATTTGTACCAAGATATGATTAAGTCAAAAGTTTCGTTAGTGTTCAAATCTCTTAGACTCTCTCTCTGTCCCTAATTATTTCCTGTTGTTTTCCTGTCACTTTCTGTTCATGTGGCCTAAATGAGAAACTTTTCTTGTGGAAAAGGAATATCCACTTCCTCTCCCAAGACTTCACCAATATGGTGTAAGCGGCTCTTGATTCCAGCCGTTTTGGTCCTGCACCTTGGCCAGGGCATCGGTCAGGGTGGACCTCATTTGCTGACTGGAGTTGCGATTCTGACCCTTATCATAGGGAGAGAGGGCATTGTAGTAGAAGGGTGAACGCTTGCTGATCGTGTAGTTTGCACCCTAGAAAAGAGGATTATAGAAATTATAGACACTTGATGGGACTATTTGAATGATCAACTCACATCATTATTGTCCCAGTATTCTGTATCGTTGGTGCGATAACAGATGCAGAACTCCAAGCGCTTGGAGGATGGCGGCAGCGTGATCTTGAACGAGAATGTATCGAATACGACGTGGGCACAGGTGGACGGTCCATAAGCCCTGGCAAAAGTACAGAATATATCCTGCTGACTCTTCCAATCGTCCCAGGTGACACGCACAATGATCTCCTTCTGGAAGTCAACGTTCTTCACCTTGATGGTGCCCACCACTATAGACTCCTCATCCTTGACAATCACATTCTCTAGGGACACAAAATCCCGCTCTATCTTTTGTCTGTCATAGGGATAAAAACGCAATAAGAATATAAAGATACACGTTACATGGAATAGGCAGAACTTACCTAAACGATAGATAATCCGAGGCTGGCTGCTTGAAGTCCACCGTCCATTGATCTGGCGGATGTGGACTGACCAGACCCTGTGTTATCTGCTCCAAGAACTTCATGCTCCAATAGGGCGGCACGTTCGAGGGTTCGGACATTACGCGAACCTCGGTTAGCGATAGACCCTCATCATCGGCAAAGATCACATGCTTTTTGGGGCCACGACTGCAAAAAAAAAACACAAAAGAAATCCCGAATGAATAAGAAATAAGTACATATGTATGTATAATACATTATAATTATATATATTATTAAATATAGAATTGACCCTGGCCTTATCAGGTTAGCTTGACCCCCCATTGGGAATTTATTCATTAAATTTGATGGTCAATGACTTTTCTTCTTTCAGGAGATTTCTATTTCAATGCCCAACAGTTTGATGGCTTTGTTTGTCTGTTAGTTTAGCAAACTGCGTCGTTTCGAAATGCATTTCTTTCGCATAATTTTTGGATTTCTGTGGATCAGAAGCGGCCCTCTATCCTTGCCAATTATTTGACTTTCCAAGCCCAACAATCACCAGAAAATCGACATAAGCCCGTATATTTTCTGTAGAATTTCCTTCTCCTCACAAAGATTTCATTCCTTTAGGAAAATGTTATTCCCAAAATTTGCCTGCGTCATAAAACGAGTAATGTGTATTGAATATTTTGTTGTGTCTATTTTTAGTAGCCACGTACGATTTTGCCAAAGATTTTCTTGAAGCTATATGCTAAACACGCCTACTTTTTTTCCTTTCTTTCGATTCTTCCCACGAGTCTCTGGCTTCAATGTAAATAAAAACACACCCCACTCGGATGCCAATACATATATCCTCGTGATTTGACAAAAAGGGAACGATTCACAAAAAAAAAAAAAAAAATGGTATAATAAAGAAAATATCAACTTATAAAAAAATTAAAAAGCAGGAAAACGCTGTCTGAGAAAGAGGCAAGTTTTTAAACCCATGAACTAGCTGTATTCTCTTTACATATACATATGTACATACATATATTCTCCAATAAATATTTGTACAGATGTACTTATGTCTGTGTTGCACAAGAATGTACATATCTTAAATGTGAAACAGTTTCCTTGACTTTTATAAGTACTTCAAATCACTTTTTTAGATCCTTTCATAATTATTATTATCACACGATGTGTATTTCTTTGTGTAGTTTGTGTTATTATTTGTGGTTTACTTTTAACTTCTTCCGTGGTCTTTATCATTATCTCTTTTTTGTAAGCTTCCCATCGAAATCGCCAAGAAATAAGCTTTATTTAGAAAATCGACCATATAAGCCGATAAGATAACTTTGGCTTATCAGAGTCGTTAGGGGCTCGATTTTTATGAAGTTAGTCGAAATAGACTGAAAAGTTTCCGTCAGCCAAAAGCAATCTACCAACGATGCTTGCCCAACCCCCCGCACAGAACATTTATTTGGCCAGCAGAGAGGGGAAACGCATCGAGTGCTAAATATATATCCGAAATACAAATAGCCAGCAATTGTTGGCGTTGGCTATTGCCAGGCCAGGCCAGGCCAGGCCAGACCAGACCAGGCCAGGCCAGGCCAGGTTGGTTTTCTGTTTATTGGACGCCGCCAATATCAAACAGCCGGCTCTGGCATTTCTGTAGAGATCGTACCACCCGGCCACGATCAGGCGGCTCGACTATCGATGTGGACGACTGCGATCACGCATCGAGGGAATGATCAGCAGCAGTGCGCCGGCTGCCGCCTGTCGCCTGCCGCTGCCGCCTGCCGCTGCCGCCTGCCTCTGCCGCTGCCGCTGCTGTGGCTGCATTTTCTTTAACAGGTTTCCGTTCGGGTCGAAGCGATTGCTTATCTTGTGTGGGCTCAACGCTCAACACCCATCAGAGCCAGCAGAGCCAGCAGAGCCAGCAGCAGACCAGAAATCAGAGACCCAGACAGGTCTCGTTTTTTGGTTTCTTTCTCTTGGCTGGCCGCTTTCCTGCTTTCAGTTTTGTGAGCGTGTCAACTAGTATACCCGTATTCGTACAAGAGATCACCCCGAAAAATCATTTACATTCCAACCCAATACATTTTCCATTTAGGTTCCATTTTTTCCAAGGGGAACGAGTTTCTCCGTCAACTGCATTTGCCCACAAAATCGAACGAAACGAAACGAAACGAATCCACCAAAATAACCACACAATTCCGTATGCATTACAGATGACATGTATTTTTGAGAGTCCGGTTTTAACAAGTCCATAAATATTAAAACTCTTCAATATGCAAGGCGCATTAATGTTTTTCTTTTTCTTTTTTTTTTTTGAGGGGCTGGGGAAACGAGTTTTCGTTTCATGTAAAAGGGATTTTTAATGTAGTTCAAAATATTTTCTTAACTTCCTCAAGTTTCGATTTACAGACCTTGATCAAGGCCCTTGCTTCAAGTCAAAAGCTGCTCAGAAATTATGCCAACCAAATGTCTTGTTTTGGATAGGGAAATTCTGAAGGTTACTCTGACTGACCTTAAGAAGCTGTCCCTGACCTTTTCTTATTTAATATTAATAATTACAAGGTGCTTCCTTTTTTTCATATTCCAAAGTTTTCCATTTCTTTATAGTTTGATTTTTGGTCTCCTTGCTCTCAGATTCGTTGGTCCATTTTCTCAACGAAAGCTCAAAGTCCAACAGTAAAAGACTGGAAATAGTTTCTCTGTGTATATTTTTTTAGTGGTCATCGTTTTGGATTATCTTCCCGCATCATTACTTTCTATCTCTTCCGCAAATTGATGCGGAATAAAATATGTAGGTGTTGAATTCATTTCAATGTAGAAATGCACAAGTTTTTCCCAAGTTTTTACAGCAGACAATTGCCACACGATCCGATCTGATCGTGGCACGTGATCTTAGCATGAACGCCAGACAGCTCCGTTCCCCCCTCTGCCTCTCACAATCTCTATATATAACCTTAAATATGCGTATGTTTGTACGGCTGGGTGGGGTGGGGACTGCGACTGTAATGTCGAAATATATTCAGTTTGGTTACACCCGAAAAAAATGTATGTTCATTTATGATGCCTTTCGTTTGAAAGCGATCACGCTTCTAGGCTAATAATTCTTCGGCCTTGACGTGACCTGGCATCGTTGTTTGATGGGTGATGGCTGATCTTGATAATTTTCGTTTTTGGGGGGTAATTAAGAAAGCTTTTTTCATAGTCTGTCAAGTTTGATTGAAAGGAGGCGGGGAGGGCGGATTCCTATGAGTGTGCCAGCTCTATGCGGGATGTTTCCGATTCTAAAAGATGGCTTCGTCGGAAAATATCCAAAATGGATAATTTTTCCAGTTCATTGTTTCTCCCAGTGCATACGCTACGTTCGACCGAAGCCCCTGACATCTGCCACAGCAACAACTGCAGGCGCGGCACGCGTCTGGGCTGCACTGATAGTACTACGCAATGCCACGTCGCGAAATATCTTAGCTAGTCTCCCTTTTCTCTATATATGTATGTATGTATGTACGGACTTGTATATATTTTTAGGCATTTTTTCAGAATGTCAAGTGCATAGAAGGACCACGTTTCCTAGGGCTACTGGAACTTAAAAGATATTTCATTAATCCCAGACTTTCACTGTCCGATATATCTGCATATGAATCAATAATGTATACCGTATACACACAATTTTGATATACTATAGAAAGAGAAAATGAAAATAATGGCGCCTTGCTGTTTGGCTGTATACTAAGTGCCAGTCTATTCCGCTTTCAGTCTTAATTTGTTGTGGTTTTTTTATCTCAGAGATACTAGATAGAGAGACTCAACCTAACACTCGTTGCAGTGGCGTGTTTTCATGTCAGGGTTTTCGGTTGATTTTCTTTTTTGGCAGATTTCTGCAATCATTTAGATAATTTATCTTTAATTTTGTTTTCGTTTCTTCTGTAAAATTGCATGCTTTAAAATTAGATTAAATTGTTGAATATACAGAAATATTCCCACTAGTATATTTGATGATCTTTTGGCTGTATACATAGTATACTCTTAGTATGGCAGTCTGGCGGCTGTATGCAATTTCCTTTTCTCCCATTTACCATTTGACATGTGCTCGACTATGACGTCTTTGGGAAATTTGTGTGACTGCCAAAAGATATGTATGTACGGGTTTTCTTGTTTGGTTTTTTGTGAACTATCGCTAATGACTTTTAAAAGAAAAATAAATGTTTATAAATGGCATAAAAGGAAATGATTGGCATTCGGATGGGTCATTGGGTCTGCTTATGAGATCAGCCAAGTTAGATTCTTATTTGGGTTAATTTTATATGGTTTCCTTTTGATTTCTTCCCTGCTGTGGCTGCATCAATTACCATATACATCTGAGATTTTCTTTTATCAACTCTTTTGCTTTTTATAAACTGCTCACTCAACCACGAAGACCCTGCCAACCGTCTTTAGGTGGTAGTGTTTCCCCAGTCTATCCTCTGACCGACCCGATCCAGCCCTTTTAGTCCGGATCCAGCCTAGTGTCTACCACCTCAAACTAGTTCATTTAGCGGTTAAGTAAGTAAGTTTAGTGAGTGCGGCGCCATTGTCTTATGGCGCCTGACGTCAAAGTGATTGAACCCCCAAGGCATTGACAGCACTCTCATTCGGTTTGCGGTGCTGTCTCGGGTTACCTCTATGATGTAATCTTATCATGCCCTGCCATATCCCATCCCCTCACTCACCTCTGTTCGCAGTGGGCTACTCCGTGGGCTGCAGTACCATTGGTGCAACTGCAGTTGTCCGTGACATCGCTGTTGGCTGGTACCGGTTCATCTATGGGGCTGGGACTTTGTGGGGTTTTGTGCAGACAGGACTTGCGACTGAGGCATGACTTTGGTTGGTTCATGAGGTGTGGGGCCGAGGCCATGCGCTCCAGATAACTGCGACCCGATCGACTGCCCACTCCCAGGGGCGTGGCACCTGCCTTCAGTTGACCCGGCTGGCACTGCATGGCCGCCGAGGCATTGTTGACCATGGCTTTGGAGGCCAGAGTTATCACTTGGGGACGGCAGTAGCGCGATGCTCTATTGGGTTCGTCATTGAAGCTGCAAGACACAGAGGAGATGGTTCGATCAGTACGGTACGGAACGTGATGGTTCGGATGGGGTGGGGTGAGGTGCGGTGCGGTGCGGTGGAACTCCTATTCGGCGATCTACGCATTCGCCTGCCTGCACTTTTATCAGCCTTGATAAGCGGGGATCCGTCCGATGCGATCCGCTTTTATTATGCTCGCGCTTTAAATTTGTGCGGCGATAATATTTGCCTTCCATTGTTCTGAGGTCTATGTATACCACTTAAACCTACACTTCTCTTCTACTGATACTAAATATAGTATGTACATACATCTGTATGTACGGTATATTGTCTATAAAGAAACATCGGTGATAAGCCCTACAGTTGCGCACGACCTCCGCACTTGTTTCAGGAATGCGGTGACGATGGACGAGTTTTCTGGAGGGTGTCCATTGGATAGAGAACACTTGATCGCGGTGAATCATTGTGAATCATTCCCGAAACTGTATTGACGAAAGGAAATAACCTTTAAATATTCCATTTCTCTCATTAACTATGGTATGTGCTGAGTCATTTCAAATAGTTCCATTTTTCGGCCAGACGATAATAGAGTCAATGCTTGATAAGGTTCGATCGCAGCCTAGACATACTCGTACATATGTTGGTTTCATGTTTATCACTCGGCGTGGGCCTGCTTTCAAGAACAACATTTCCCGCTGATTAGTGATTAGGCAGTCTGATCCGTATCAAAATCACCATATTTGATGCTCTTGTGCCAACTGAAATATTTCATGTGATTTATTGCAAATAAACATACATAAGTACTTGAGCTATACTTTACAAATGTGTATATAAATCAGGTTCGGTAGCTCTAGAATCACGCTATGAAATTTCAAGTGAGTCGAAGTGGAGACAGCCGAGTTACTTGAGATAGTTGGCTCTTGGACTGGCCCCATTCACGTGCTTTGATAAGTAGCTTCGATCGTACAGGGGTTGCCCTCATACGAGTATATGCGGATCAGTGGCTATAGTTATTGTATCTTGCTAAACAAAAGATATACTCCAACATATATGTATTTTTTTGGATTATTTTTAGCCTGAATATTTTAATATCATCCAATAAATTATATGGAATGATGTTTTTGTGCGTTTTATCATTCCCGAAAATAAAATCCACACTATAAATATCACCAGCAGCGACAGATGCAGCTCGTGCACCAAATGAGGCGCCACAAATATGGCTAGGACCCAATTGAATCAATTGGTCCGAAAAAGAGCAGAACATGTACCTCCCATTCTCCGATTTGTCATATTTTTCTTTTGGGACATGTGTCCCTGAGCAAAAAAGTTTCGTCAATACGAGTATGCCACGCGCAAATTTGTCGTCAAGCGGGCAATCGTCGGCGTCATCTACCCGACTCGTGGACAACCCTCCAAATCTCAGAGCTACACTAACAAAACACATAGTAGCCTCTCCGAAATGTTTGTTTTGGTTCGCGATGATAGTCCATTCGCCTTGCCTTTCCTTGCCTTGATCTTGACTGCTTCCATTCTTCGCCAATCTGTTGTCAACCCAAACGTATGTGTATGGACCTGAGTCCCGAGAATATTAATAGTGACTGCATTCATTGTGTTCTTTAAATACGGTAAGTGTTCTGTGTGTGTTTGGTCACAATATTTTTCTGTCTTTGATCACCTGGAAGAGCGGACAGTGAAACAGCTGTACAGGTGATCTAATTTCTCTATGAATCGATAGAGTTCTGCATTTTTTGAAGAACTGAGAAGTACTGAACTGAATGTAGGGTACATTTGCTAAATGGTAAATGTAACGCTTTTGTTGTGTCCCTCAACAAGATTATAGATTAGACTATACTAAACTAAACATTGATCATACATTTTCAAACTAATAATACTAAAAACAAGGGTAAACTGAACTTAAAATCAGATTATCGACAGTTCTTATATTTTTCTTTGGCACGTACACAGCTGTGGTAATTCTTTTGAAATATTAATCAGAAAAGAACTGGAGACTTATCGAATGATAAGAACATTGAAAAGAAAGTTTAAGACGTGACACAAAACTTTAAACGTGGAAATTATGAAACTGTGCTCGTTTCTTATTTCTTCTGTGATAATTTGATGTTCATTGAATTTATTTTGATTGACGACCGAAACTCGCGCGTTCACTTAAATCAATTTAGTATAAAATTAGGCAAATTGATGGAAATATTTATTCATGATTCTTTTTGGGTTAACTTACTTCAATGCCGGCCGCTGATGTCCGCTCATGTAGTCCGCCAGAAAACTGACGGGTGGACTGTGACTGAATATGGGCGGACTGTGCGAAATCATTTTATATAGATCTGTGATCTGCTGTTTCCTATTGATTATATTGATCTCGAAACAAGGAACTTTTTGTGTGGAAGCCCCTGAGAAAGAAATATAGAAAATAAATGATTTATAATTATTGCAATTGAAGCGCAACAAAACAATAACAAAAACTGAAATTCGAATCTCAAATTAAATTTTAATTGCAAATATGTATGCATGCATGTGTATAGTGTTTGCTGATTTTTGTTGCTGATGGTAATCTCAGGTGGGATCTAAACTGTGATTTTTCGGATGCATTTTGCTGCACAGCGTCTTGATAAGTACTTGTACATTTTTTAAGCGGATGATCAAAAGTGTTGTTTATGTTTTACACATATATGTACATATATACATATTTTATGACACTCGTCCGATGAGTTCCAAACATAATTTTTTTTTTTTATTTTGTTTTGGTTTGGTTTGGGGTGGAATGCTGGTGGATGAAACTAACCGTTATTTGCTGCGTAAGTCGCGCTCTTTCTTGTCTTCCGTCTCCTTTGGTTTCTTCTTTTGCCTGCTGCTAAGGAACTTTTCTTCACTCTCTTTTCTTATGATACTTGAATTAACTTTTTCATATGTGCATCACGCGCGCTCTTCACGGATGACGGCGGCGTCAGACAATGAAATTTTATTTTGGCGAATTTTTAACCGAATTTATTGAAATATTCGTGAGATTTCTGTATGTCGGGCACTTTGTCGACGGACACACGCACAAACGGGGACTTTCCGGCCTTTTCTGATTAATTAGCCGGCGCTTTCTCGGCAGGGACTAGCCGTTCTGTTAGTTACTAATGTATTTTTAGTTTAGACGGAAAACGAACATGAATAAAAAAAATAGCCACAAACGCTTCGCCTTCGGGCCCGCTCCGTTCCGTTTGAAGCTGCGAAAAGGAATGAATATTTTGTTGGTGCCAGACTTGCCGTCAAGACTTGTGCGCCCACAGCACAGTGGGTTAAATGGCCAGTCTAGCACGCAAAAACATGTAGAAAACATTACATCATTCTTTAGGTTAAAAATAATTTCTCTTGATGCGAATTGTTTATTTCAATTTGTACTGTTAAGAACTTATGTCAGACTTAACATTTTCAGCAATTCCTGAAATTAAATATATGTATATATAAATAAATTTTTCTTTTTGGAGCAGGACGAGATTGTGCATTCACAAAGGTTTTTTTAATTTATAGCATTTATCTATCCACAAAAAACATAACTGGAGAAATTAATAAGTCGCAGTTTTTAGAGATTGTGTGTTTTGTGTGCTAGATTGCTCATTTCACCCACTGTGCGTAACCAGAGCGTTCGAGAGAGATAGGGAAAGAGAGAGAGAGCCACGCCACGCTACGCTCTCTTGGCATTCACATTCACCCTATCTACATAATCGCACCTCTCGCTCGCTCTGCCGCTGATCGACGTGGCGTGCATATTTCGATTGCATTTTGATATAGAGTTTTGGTATTGGTTTTTGTAGCTTTTTCTGCGTTCTTAGATTAGTTTAGGCGCCGCCACTGTCACCGACTCTCTCTCTCTCTCTCTCGCTCTCAGTCTCTGTCGCACAGTCGGGTGACAAAAGTTGCTCGGTGTCAGGCCCGAGAGACATGATCAGCATCACAGCCCAACCCATCCCACTTTTCGGTCTTCGTGTCGCGTCTCAGCTGTTGCTCTTCATCTTCACCTTCGTCTCGTCTCGTCTCGTCTTTATCTTTATACTACTGTTATCGCATCATTGTAGTTGAGGGGGCTTTTGCTTTAATAAGTAAGGGTTCCGTTTTAGCCCACGCATTTCTTTCAGGCCGTGTCAAATCTAAATCAATTTGTCCAACGGATGAGGGTCTTGGGTAAGAAAAATGTCTTTTATCATCGACATTATTTCAAAGGTCATATGGATCATTCAGGTGAGTTTTGAACAAGCTTTTGGAATGGATTCCATGCGTTTTTAGTACTTGTAAGACGGAGATATTTTTAATACCAGCACTGATCGTTTCCGTATTAAGCCTAAGGTCATTTTTAACCCACTTTAATGAACCATTTAAATTGAATTTCTTTTCATCTTACCATTTTCCATCTATTGCAGCGAAAATGTAATGGCTCTCGACGGACCATTGTCAACCCACATGATATCTGTCGTACCCACATCAAAACTATCCGAGGCAAACGGAAACCCCTGAATCTGAATCTGTATCTGAATCTGAATGCAGCCAACTCTACACAGAAATGCAGCAGTCTGGTTTTGGAACTGGAACCTCGTATCGCTGCGTTTGTTGGGCACCTTCTATGGCAAAGAAAGTGTATCTGTGTGAGTTTATCTTTGGCCTGGTTGCCTGTGTGTGTGCGTGGTGTGCGTGCCTCGATGACATTCGCTCATGGCGGTTTTATAGTTGTCGAAATGCCCTCTGACAATGAATGATCTCAACCCCAGTCTCAAAATGAGTTGCATGATAGTGCACCTATGCCTATGGATGTATGAACATATATATGTGAAGGGTTTTCACGCTTTTCTGTTTCGAGTGTTAAAAAGTCTCATTTTGCTTGCACACTTTCTTCGGATGGCCACGCAGCATCCCATTTGGTGGAGAGGTTCGCTTAAAAGGGGGTCTTTTAGAGTGGTATGTACATACACATGTAAGTAGAGGAGGAAGAGCCGGCCGGCTTGCCTAGTTGAAAGCCGGTTTCCCAAAGATCCCTGCTTGAATAAAAAGTAGTTACTCGAGTGGTTCGCTGCAGCGCGTCGTGTAGAGAGTCTCAGAAGAGCCAGAGAGCTCTCCATTATTATCCCCCTGTTCATTCTTCCCCTGTCTTCCCCTTCATTCAGGGTTGGCACTTCCTCCCCTTGCATCTCGTACTGCAGTGCTCTATCTCTTCTCTTCTCTTCACTTCTCTCTTTGGCTGCACTCGAAATTGCTGGCACTTGCGTGGGCCTCTGTCTGTACCCTCTGGCAAATTTAGTAGCTGCTTCTCCCTACATACTAGTATATGTACATACATACTCGTATTTGTATGTATCTTGTCTATTCCTGTAACGATTTCCATATTTTCATATGTACATCTTTTTGAGGCAGTTGTAATTATAGTTCGTTGCTTTCGAGCGGAGCGGATGTGCTTTGCTTGGTGGACAATTTACAAAATTCAATTTATGAATTTATGAACTTATACGGGTGGCTTGCAGTCTTGTCACTCTTCGCCACTCTCTCACTCAGAAAAGATATACGATATAGTCTGTACATACATACATAGGTGTATACGGTAGGTACAAAGTTGAGGAAGCTATCGGTATTTATTATATAAATAATTAAACAGGAATCCACGTGCGCCTGAAATCGTGGGGTGATGAAACCGGCAGGCACTTCAGTATCAGGCACGAAAATATTGGCTAGCGGCGCTTGGTTATCAGTGAAATTCAATAAATTTTAGTCATAGTATAGCATACACAATATACAGTACACGGTACTAGTTTGTGAAGCCCTCTTGGGAGAATCTAATTATAGAAATGGGGCGCGCGACTCAGAAGATTTTTGCTCATTATCAATGCATATTGAATTGCTGATGAACTGCGCAGCATAAACTTAAATCATAAATATAGAACTGGTTTATTTTTGGGCAGAGATAATACCCAGAGCGGCCGATGGCCATGCCATGCCGTAACTGACCTAGAGCACATGATCGTAGCGTGATCGCCGAAAGAAAGCACCGAGAAGATAAACGACACGAATTTTCTTCTTGGCAAAGATCTCTCACATCAAAACAGTTCTTCCGCAACGGAAACGGCACAGAATAACATAGTCGCAAAAAGGTTTTACTATAAATAAACCAAGGGATAGACATTCGCAACATGCTAAGAGCGGAATTCCCATTCACATGACAGTTTTTAGCCAGAGTGTGATCTTTTTAACCATCTTAGACCGTCTTCGTTCTGTTCTATTCTGTTGTGTGTTTTTCCCTTTGCTTCGAAACGTAACGGATCCGATCGCGTAATTTTCCATTGGAACTAATACGATCGGGGATCGGCGATCGGCGATTGGCGGTCATCGGTGATCACTGATCAGCATTAAAACAAACTTAATTATGCGATTCATATATACTCGTAGATGTATAGAAAGCCATCGAGCAAACAGCAGGCGAGCGAGTCTGAGGCCTGAGCCGACCACAGCTGATCACGTTTTCGCTTGCTGCTTCAGATAGTGGTCCTGGCAATAGTTCCATTGACATCGCCAGACGACGACGACGACGGCGGCTATCTGCCCAGACCCGACGCACATCGACGCAATGTCTGATATCGCGCGTGTCTGCGCTGATAGCTGATAGCGAGCCCCTAATTGAGTACTCCCCAAACACCCTAAAAATAGTTAGACTCGACCTCTTCATTATTCCCATGTTAATCACCGAACCAATAGACACAGTGACCAACGAAAGGGAATGCCACTTATCAACATCTGTTTGCCAGACCAAGTTGAGTAGACGGGGTGTAAGTCGAGTGTTTACTGTGGCTAATGTATTTGATTTTCAAGTTTGGCTCGTGTGCTGGCGCTTCAAAAGGGCTCCGTTATACTATCCAAGGCAGTGATGAGATAGTTAGCCGTAGACACCCATCTGATTGGGTAATACTTAAAGTCCAAGGTAGATCAATATGGGGGTTACATGTAATACACCATAATTTTTGTTTAGTCTATATATATCTTGATCTTACTGGTTATCCATATGTATCTTTTCGAAACATCAGAATCGGCTACTCCTACCACATAAAGATCCTACAGATCCGCTTCTCTCCTCATTAGCCTGTCTTTCTTCCAATTTCATTTAAAACTTGATCTCAAAAAAACAGATTCACTAATTGACAGGTTCAAAATTGCATTATTTTCTCTCTCACCTGATGAAATATATTTGCATACATTTGGCCATTTTTTATATATTTTTGCGTTGCTATCTGATAAAAAATAAAGGAAACCACATAAAATAAATAAATAATATGAGCAACACAAGAACGAGTAAGTGGCTTTTAATTTAGAAGATTTTACCAAATTTTTAATGATGCATAAAAAAATCCTTTAACTTAGTCAGCTTCCTGGATCCACTACTCTCGATCTTTCTCTCAACATAACCGCCAAGAAATAATCAATTCCGCCTTTCTTCAAGACCAGGGATAGCAGTAAAAGCTGTTGAACATCTTTCCTGTTTCCGGTTTATGCTACAAACATTAACATAAAAGTGCGCGAAATCAAGTTCAAAAATATATATACGCTTGGATTCAATGTTGAACGCGTACATTGCACTGCCCAGAATTAAAAATAATGTATCTGTAGAACTGCTTGACGATATACTTATATACATACATAGATAGACAGATATATATTTACATCTAGAAATGCCTAGACAAGTTTTACAATTTACATGGCCGTGCGAATGAATCAGTGGGACAAGCAGAGCAATCTGCTTCTTGCTTTTTGCTCGAACATCTATAAAGTATCTGATAAATGCGCAGCACACTTAGAATTTGGCAAAATTTTGATTTAATTAACCTTCTATTTGGTGGAGAGGTCAGTCGCAATCTGGACTAGAATCAGTTTTTATATGGTTTTTGCTTCTGTACGCGATTTCTTTTTGGTAAAGGAGGTCAGTGAACTGTTTTATCATTATTTTAAGAAGACTACCGATTCTTATATTTCTATCTTAGTTTTATATTTTGCTTACATATTTACGTACGTATGAGGAGATTATTGAGGATAAGAAGACCCGCGATATGGTTATCTAGAGAGGTTTCATTCGCCTTGATTTTGTGCCGTTTTCTCGGTAACTTTTTTCAGTACGAGGTAATCGCGTATTCTCCTTTGCGAAATGTTTGTCCATTTTTTCAATTTTACACGTAGCGTAGGTCTCAACTGGGTCACCTTTTGGCTTATCAACGAGCTAACATATATATATATACATATATTGTATATAAAATAGTATAAAGAATTAAACCGGAATGCAAGGTGATCAGAAATGTGTATATCAAATGTGAAGATACCCTAGATAACGATAAGAAATTGATTAAGCAGAGGATTAAAATAACACAGTCTCTAAATCAAGGTAGAATTAATTTCTAGGGACACACTTTTATTGAAAACTTCGTTTTCAAAAACTTCTTAAAGCAAGATTTAAAAACTTATTTTCTCAATGCTCCTTTCAAAGTATTCGAATTAATTATCATATCATTATCATATTATCAACCTTAAATATGTACAATTGTGCCAGTATCTGTACTTATTTTGTATACATAATATACATATGTATGTACATATATTGATGTTTAAATATAAATATTATTATGAACATGATTGTGAAACAGCAACAAAAAAAAAAACATTAAAAATAATCAACAAGAAAATGCATCTGAAAATTTTCCACCCTAACCTTATTATAATCGACTCGTATTTGCAAACAAATAAGCATGCCTGTAAAGAACAGATCAAAGATCGTATCTCTGGGATTTATGGGTCAATGGGTTTATCTCCCGACATTTTACAAATTGTTACATGCTAGGTGAAATTCTGTAGTTCTCATCGGACTCTTGACGTCAATAAAAATGGGTTTTGATATCAGAAGCAATCGTATAATATATATTATATAATATATTAGTATCTAATAGAAAATGTAACATAATAAAAGTATATAAAAATGTACAGATGCATGAATTTTCACAGCTATTTATGGGAGGGATATAAATTCCTCAGTATAGATAGATTTACGTACATCTGTACATACGATTTGATTAATAAAGGCTCGTCTGGGAAGTTATTGCGGTATTGGCAAAATAAAAATAAAATTTGTCTTTGCAATAATGATTGCAAAGCCCTATCTGACCCGTACCGCCTCGTAATCAATTGTCCGTTGTAAATTAATCAAAAAACAAATAAAGTACAACTTTCCATTAAGTTGATTATTCCTTCCTTTATTTCCAGATATTTTGAACACCATTCGCAACGCCACCTGTCGGTTGGGGCGTGTGGGTGTGGGCGTTACTTAATTTAACGGTTTAGCGGTAAATGTTTTCCTCTCTCGTTCGCCATTCTCCATCCATTCGCCGCCCCTTTGGTACACTTTCTTAGCGGGTCTAGTGGCGCACGAAGAAGAACAAATTTGTTTTCTGGCGCTTATGGGGAGCAGTGCGGAGCGATTGGGAGATTGATTAGGAGCGGAGGAGATTGTGGGCTGGATCCATTGTTGTTGCCGGCCAGTCGCGCGACCAACTAGCATATCAGTTGCCATTCCGTTTCTGCTCCCCCTCTTTCTTCTACTCCCCTATACGTGTATTCCTCCTCCTCTTCACCAATGTTAAGTTCAATGACAGAATTTGAAACCCCCCGTGCCTTCTCTCCTGATTTTGCTCATGAATCTTTGGACAGGGCTTAATCAGCCAGCCTTTGTTATCAGTAGTAGTATACATAGTATGTATGATGGCCTAGTTTCTTCGTCTTTTATTTTTACTTTATTTTTTTGGCAGATGGGGAAACTGGAATATGACCTGAGGAAAGGTTAATTAATTAGCAATTTCGTTGAAAATAAAGCTCGGATCAAGGGGGGGCCTTGGAATACCACTTCACTTCAATATACATAGTTCCATAAGATGAGATATTTTTCTGTAGATTTGAATCGATTCTTTGGGCGCAATTAATATTTAAATAAATACTTTAATATTCAATTAATTTGTTTTCAATATGTTTGCTCTAGTCAAGTTACATACATATGTACATTTATTGTCCTAATGATCTTGGATTGAGTGACAGACTGGACATGAGCAGAGGTAGGAGTGCCGGAGCACCTGCTCTGTGGATGCAAACAGTCTGATTGAACGGCTAATTGGCTGCAGTTCCGCTTTGGGTTAAAAGATCGCTCTGGGATGGCTTTAAATAGATTACAAAGGGCTTACCAGATCCGTGTTATTTTTAGAGGGAAGTTTTTGCGGTGCTTAGGTAACAGTTTTTTCCGATTTGTTATTGAGTGGAACCCGCCCACCTAATCAGGGCGATAATCGATTCAAACGGGGCTTGAAAGTCCCAGGAATTGCATATTTTTCCACGTTTCCAAGCTCTAATCTGGAATCTTGGCTGAGGCATGGGCAGGGGGCAGGGGCTGGACATCTCTAGGCGTTGGCGCCGCTGTCAGCGTTGCCGTCTAAACAAATGTCGTTCACGTTGTAGTACATATTGTACATAATACTATGTATAAGTAGTATTTGGATTATCAGTTAATTTAACGATTTCGAATTTAGATTTGTGGGCAGGCGATTAATTAACATTTGTTTTCAGCGTGTCCAGCAAAGGCCCAAAGGCAGAGACAGATGAGATAATTAATAGCACATGCAGTCCTCTATCCCCCTCTCTACCACACTGACGCTGCTCCGGCTAGTTTTTATTTATAGACAAGGTTTATGGGTTTGTTGTGCCCACCTCCTCCGATCTGGGGATCCGTTTCGCGGTGCACTCTACTCGTATCTGTTTGAAGGCTGAATGTTATTCCAAAAACTGACGATCTCGGCAAATTGGTTTTGATAAAGAAGCTTGATTGGGGGTGTCAAAGGGTAAAGAGAGGTGTGCTATGATGTGGGCGTTGTATTCCCTATTGGCTGATAAGAATTTTACATTTAGCCCTTTGTTGATAATATACAATTGTATTCTTCAGACTAAAAACTCTACTACAAGTAAAAACACTACACAAAGAACAAGTATAGCTTTCATGCTTTAATTACCAGAAGTTTGTTTAAAGTTATCAAATAAAGAGATTTTATAATCGGTTTTATTTCAAATTAAGATTTCAAACTTAATCGCTTTGGCGCCCATTACCGTTTGCTTTTAGCATTGAAGTCAACCCTGTCATTGTAGTTATTATGGCATGCACCAGATGTCGCTTTGAGAAAACAGTGACTTTTCCATATCTCTGAATGAATATGTATTTTTTTAAATGAATAAAATAAATTAATGTATGCAAACATCATTATTTTCGATTTTCCAAGAAGTTGGTGCCTGGCATATTTCTCAAATTATATAATCTTCAGTATTTTTACGAAATAGAAGCATGTACCGTAAAATGAACGACATTCTGCATACCCTGAGGAAATGAATATTATAAAATTGCGAAGATGTTTGTCTCTAACGCATGCGGAAATAGTCAGTTTTTTACAATGAGAGAGACCAAGATATACGGAAAATAATCAAAATAATATGTCTAAAACATATCAATTTGACAAAATTTCTTTATTTACTACGTTTCTTAATATTAAATTAACGAAATAGGGTATTCAAATGCCCATACTCCGGTTGAAAAGCAACAAGTCTTCAAATACCAGCAACATTGACGTAACATAGCGACTGTTTTTTGTTGAACTTTTTTGCTTAAACCTTGTTTTAGTCAAAATACAGTAAATGGGAATACTTAAAAGTAGTTAATTTTGTAGAAAATTTATTCATCAATAGGATAAAACTATGTGGGCACGGCTAAGGGTTTTAGTTAGGCAGCATTATTCAACGGAATATCTAAATTGAGCAATTGGTACGATTACTCTTACTTCTTTTTGTTTGATCTTTTTCGCTAAACCATTTTTTTAGGCGAAATCCAATAGAAGCAAGTATTTAAAATAAGCCAGTGAAGTAGAAAATAGGTTCATTAATTGAATAAAACTATGTGGGCATGGCTAAAAGATCTATCTAGCTAGTTATATTGCACGGAATATCAAAATTGAGGAATATGTTTTCCAATCCTCGACGGATAACGATTAACCCATTGTAAGCCAAGGGGGCTACCACCGTACATAATACAAATTTAATGATTTTAGCGCCTTTCAGGTGTAAGATATCGTGGTTTTTTTGTAAGTTCGGAGGAAAGATGACATGGATCTACAAGAATAATTTACAATCAGTAATATTTGCTGCCACTTACCTCAAGTCGTTGAACTGTTTAAATAGAGGGGGCTAAGTGGGCCAAGTTTTTTTTTCATCAGACCGTATACTGTTATTGCGGTCACACTTAACAAGTAGAATAGAACTTTTTAGAAATAGAAAAATTATTTAGAATAATAATAATAATAAGCATAATACAAAAATGGTGAGTGCCGGCAAAGAAAATGAGTTAGACACGTGAGTTTTTTCCATTGCACGCTTGGCAATTTTCATGTTTATTTAGACATTTAGTGATATATAGAGGTTTTGAATTGGCATTTCATACATTTTCGGAAAGACTCGGGGACAATCTCACTCCAGCGGCGCTTAATAGTAGCTGCGATCTACTCCGGTTCCGGGTCCGGCACCGACTGCCGGGTCGGGGACTGCGAACAGCGGCTCTGGAGACCTCTTGCCACCCCATGAGTGGAATCGCTGCTTCTTTCCCAGGACCACGGAGTTGCGCTTTTCGTCGCGCTGCAACTGGGACTTGATGCGACAGCGCTCAATGACAGCGTCCCGGATGATGGAAGCGAACTCCACGTCGTTAAACTGAGCCATCAGCAGCTTGAAGAATGCCCAAATCTCGCCTCTCTGCGAGGTGGGTGGTGGGGCATAGTGGTGGAAGAGCCAGCCCCCCTCGGACGGGGATCTGTCCTCGGCGCTGACCGACTGGGCGTTGTAGGCGTCGCACACATCTTCGAAGCTGAGAATGGCCTGGAGGATGAATCTACGGTACTTGGACAGCTGAAGCTCGCAGGTATTCAGCTCCACGTCGGCGGAGGCAGGGTGCCCGGGCAAGGCGTACAGCTGCCTGGAGAGGGCCAGCAGTAGGAAGAGGAGTCGCCAGGTCTGCATCATTCAAAGAGCTGCGTGCGTGTGGATGTGGGTGCTCGTAATCCTCTTGGCCAACTGCGCTGGGAAATGGCTCGACGTCTTGCTTATATAGCTGCGGGTTTAAGTCCAACTGTTGGTCCGCCCACTGGATGAAGAATAAGTCGCGCCCGTTGACAACTTTGAAGTCCATAAAATAATTATAAAACGTTTGTCGTTCGCATTTTCTAAGCCGTTACACACGTCGCTAAATAAATAAGAGTGCGTATTAATAAGCGTGGCATGCCCCGTCCTGTCCTCGTCCTGGCTGTGGGCAGACGGTTGCAACAAGTGTCATAAATTTTCACGCTTCTAACTGGCGCTCGTTTGTTTCTTTCCGCTATGCCGGAGAATTTATTAATCCTGCCAAAAGATAAACGTGACGTGCACTTGAAACTGAGAACGGCTCCCTGGGCGACTTGCCTTATATGTAGGTCGTGTCGCGCCTCCCTGTGTCTCTGTGATGCCACCACCCACTTACTAACCCCTTTTTGCCTGCCTTGCCACTCACTCAGTCGTACAAATGCTCGCTGATTAGCAGGCAAGCGTATGAAATTAATCATATGCAAATATCGCCACTTTTTCCGTTGCTCAAGTTGTTGATGTCCTTGCAAGGGGTATATCGTTTGTTCGAATAACATGAGAGGGTATTCAGGGTCAGTTTTAAGCTTGCCCATTGTGTTCCCCTTATTTTGTATAATAAATATCTTAGGGTATTCCAAGATTTGATGTATTCCTTCTACTTATTTTTGCTAAGAGCGTCGTAGTCAGTCCTAGTCCTCTTGTTGGACCTCCTTCTAGTCTTTAATTTACTCAAAACGTGATGTGATAACTTGGCTGTAGGCGGTTGTTTGCAGTTAGCATGTGAGGGCTGAAGGGCGACTCGAAAAGGAGGAGGAGTTGGATAGCCTCGGATAACTAGATTTATTTCCTTATTTCCAGTGAAATGTTGCATCTAAATATGTTATTATTTATTTTCTCTTTAAAGAAATTCCGTTTCTGCGGCGAAGGGGATTGTCCCGATTGGGTATTGGCCGAAATCATATCAACACTCTCCAACTTGAGTATAGAGAATCTGGAAAAGCTAAGCGATCTAGTGGCTCAGAGAATATGTGGCGGAGCTTTTGAGGTGAGTATGTGTGATATTAAGTGGATTTGGATTTGACAGTCTCACTCTCTCTCCGAAAGGAAGCGGCCATCAAATCGTTGACATCCACACTCACTAATGAGGGGAAAACGGCCGTGGCCTGCATCAACTTTATGCTGATCAATGCATCCCGCTACAACTGCACGGAGAGCATATTTGGAGAGGAGATCCAACAGCTAGGCCTTCCCAAAGACCATGCTGCGGCCATGTGCCGTGTGCTGCAGAAACATTCCGGTTCCATACGTCAGAAACTGTTAGATAAGGCATTTAAAAGTGGGTTCCTTTACGCACATGCTATGCTATCACTATAATGAAATTTTCTCCGCCCATTTCCCCAGTTAACGAGCTGCAAAGCGTACGTAATGTAACCTCGCCTGGCGAAACGCCAGCAAATTGTGCCACCCTGGAACTGAAAATCTCGCAAGAACTGGTCGATGGCCTGCCCAAGGATACCACGCATATTGTTAACTTCGAACGCTCGCATCTGAAGGCTCTGCTGGCGGAGCTGAAAGTGGCCCGCGATATTATGGACAAATACGAAAATTAAAAAAACTAGAAAGCAAATGCGATGAAAGAAAATTGAAGAGAATATTACATCTTTAATGGAATACAACGCAGCTTTGCTTGATTAAGACTCGGTCTTTGGAATGTATATTACTGCCAAATCAATCAGTGAGACTGTCGGTCAGTCAGGGAGAACATTTTATATAATATAAATGTCGATTCAACGGGATTTTGGCACCCGATTGCAGATGATTCACGAACAGATGAATACAATGAACTCTTCCCAGTTTATGGAGAACAACAGTTTCAAAAACCCTTTTGAAGCCCCGTTTGGATCTGGCAAGGAAGACGGAGCTTTGGTATGAACACCTGGAATGCATCGCGTAACCAAATTTTGATGATGCATCCAGCAATGACGTGCTGGATAGAATATGATGCCTGTGATTCTTATTTACCCCCGCGGCCATTATTGAAAGAAACTGCTAAGGAATTTATTGATTGCAATAACTGCACATTAAGGAAAAGGCTAAGCATAATCTCCCACGCATCGCTGGACACCTACTTGAAGCTCTTCACTTTCTCCTTTTGAATGAAGGTGGCTGCAACGGCTAGAGGTAGTTCGAGCGGACCCGGCCCTTTGTCCAGTTAGAGAAATGGCGGGAAACCAGTCAGATTGGCACAACTTACGAGGCACTATAGAATTTTCCGCCTAGAGTACCAGCAGATGCTCATGTGCTCATCAAAAAAGATTATATGCACATGCGAAAACCTCATTAACAGCCATTTACTTTTGGATTGGCACATCCAGTCGTTGACCGATGCCAAGGAGAGCACTGGAGGCACTGGAGGTGCTGCCTGCAGAATCTGATCATCAAAATCGTCTCTCTCCTTGACCGTAAAGATATAGAAATCCCGCACTGTGTGGACCAACTGCTTGGACTGGTGTGCTGTGGCCTTTCCAGCTCCACGCGCCGAATGTGACAGATGCTAGGGAGTGGTTTGCGGAGATATTGACTGCAGATTGTTGTTGCCGGCGGCAGCCTACTAAAGGTTAAAATGGACCGTCCAGCTCGTAGTTGAGTTGGGCACACACCTCTGGCGGGGTGATCAGATGCATTATGTCGTAGTTCCGGCCAATCTAGGATCGCAAAGCTCTCGTACTGGAGCAGATAGAGTTGGGTGAATCTGCTGCTCCTGCCACAGAGGTGCCTGGAATATTCGCGCAGGTGCTGTGGAAGTTCAAATTCGGCCTCCAATTTGCTTGGCTTGGCTATTGCAAGATCTTTGGGGCATTCAAGGCACTACATACAAGATACATGCCAAAGCAAATGCCAACAACTGGTAATGACGCAACTTTTTTGATAATGAAAAGTAGAAAGATCTATTCATCGTCCTGAAGAATATGTTTGAAAACAATAAAACTATATTTTTAAAGTTGTAAATATAACGTTGCGACTTGAATGTTTATTTCCTCTGTGCCAAAATTAATACGTATAACAACCAAAGACACAGGCAATGCAAACAAAACTACCACCGTCGAAGACATAGGAAACATAATCATCTGAGAGTTGATCCCATATAGCCCGAGCCCCATAGAAACAGCCGGCGCCATTCTGTTGATAGAGCATTACGTTGACCACGTGCTTGTAACGCGGGTACTGGCCCTGTCCCTTCATCTTCAGATTGATTTCGTCGGCTATTTCGCGTGTCCACTTCACAGCATCCGCAGCAGTGTAAGTCTTGCTAGTCAGTCTCTCCGTAAGCACTCGTTGCAGTATATAGCGAATGTACGGACAGGGGAACTTGTTGCCAAAAGCTGGTCCCATGTTGTATGCATTGTAGATAGTAACATCCTTTGCTGGTCCTGCCTCAGCGTGTAGTTCACCTCCTCCAGCAGCTAAAACTGACGCTTTGGGGGTCGCATCGGATTTCACCTCGGGCAGAGCATTCCCACTTTCCACAGACTCCTGTGGCTGTATCTGCCGCTTGTTTTCCAGAATACTGTCGGTTTTGGGCTTACTCTGCGACATTTTTTTTTATTATTGTAAAATTTTCTTTTTGATGATTTCGCTTTGAATCACATCTGTGTTGTAAAACTTCGATCAAAAACTTTCTGTATGACGATAGTCGATTGTCAGCGATTGACAGGTGCTTCCAGGCTTTTATGTTTTAAAGGTTATACAAAAATCTTTGAAAATGGAGAAAATTATTTAGTAAGGAAGTTCTGTCGAGTGCGGTGTGCAAATTCTCAGGTTCGCCAGGGTCCGATCCAACTACAGGGAATTTGTAATGTCATGTTATGGGAACGGGAGGATGTGGAGGAGCAATTACTGGACGAGAAGTGGCCATCTGCTAGCTGACTTTCGAGTGTTGGGTGGAAGGAAAAACGGGTAGGGGTTGGTATGCCGATTATACGACTTACAGTGCCCGCTCAAAAAGCACATATCGGTAATTGAGGTAATTTACAAAAATTGTATTAAAGCTATTTCCCCATGGCCCTGACACGACGTGAGGCCATATTTCCCTCTATTCCGGCTTGTATTTTGAAGGTCCTGTCTTGAAGGGGGGTAATCTGCACCTTTACCGCGTATCTGGAGGGGTGGGCTGGTCCTCACTTCTACGTCGGCGACACTCTGTACTTAGCCGCACTTCTCAATATCGCTCTCTCGCTCTTTTTTATGTGCGGGTCTGCGCTCTCACTTTGACGCTACTGCTGGCCTTTCTCTCGGTGCTCCCTTACATACGTTACCCCAGAGACAAAAATTAGTTTGTAGAACTGATTAAGTGGATCTTACCCCAACAATTTGTATACGCGATGCTCGAAACGTTTAGTGTGTGTTTAGTGTTTGCGACCCCATAGAGTATACATATATATTCTTGATCAGCATCAATAGCCGAGTCGATACAGTCATGGCTGTCTCTCCGTCTTATCTGACGCCTAGTTCTTAGAGACTATTAGAGCTATTAGACCGCGCGGAAATTCAAATTCGGTCCCCAACGGGCGGTTCAGTAAGTCCCAAGCAGTAGTTAAAAATAACAAAAATAGATGGCGCTGTGGCCTTCAATAGCGCCACTGTGAACATGAATTTTCCATGTAGGAAAAATAACAAAAAATACATTTACATGTCAAATTAAATTGTTCTACATGACATTTAACGGCTAACACAGTTTCAAAACAATATTAACAATGCGTTATCCTTATGTGGTGAATCTTGCCGAGGAAACAAGGGAGATCTCTTCAGGGCGCAGGGCAATCCCCTAAAACCGCTCCCGGCATCAAGGAGACAACTAAAGACGGCGGCGGGGGAAAGAAGCCTAGCTAGATGGCAGGAATGCTGAGCCAAAACAGAGCAAGGCAGATGGGCATATAACCTTATAGGAGACATTGGTAGGTGGCTTAACCCGGCGGGTGGGACCGCGGATCACATACTCTTCACCTGCTCAAGGTTCACCAAGCAGCGGAGTCACATAAAACTAACACACTAAACGCCTTGGGCCTGATAAGCAAGATGGTATCTAGCGAACACTACTGAGGAAATCGAGAGAGTTGGAGCGGCTGCATAACGGCATGGAAGGAGGGGTCTAAGGCGATCCGCCTGAGGCAATATGCAAAATGTGATCCGTTCCGCTTTCTTCCTTTTTTTCGTTTCGTTCTTCGCTTTCGCAAAAGCACCCGAGTCGAGCGTGGGAGAGAGAGCAAATAAGAAGAGGAGCGGGAGATCAAAGAATGCACGCATTTTCGCCGCTCTCACTCAAATTTTTTCACCCGGTCAAAGCGTGCCTTGGCAAGTCGGCTCCGCGTTCAAGTCCATGAAAATGCGGAAAATGGTGAAAAATCCAATAGGAAAAATGTCGCGCAGGTGTGTGAAGTGAATTTTAGTGTAGTGAGTAAGTGATTATATAAAAAAAAATGTGTTTTAGTGCAAGAAAATGTGGTTAATAAAGGGCGGGGGCGCAATAGAGGCCAAATGGCGGCATAAATGCAGATCTACGAAGGAGATGCGCTGCAATGTGTGATATACATACATACATATGTATGTACATATGTATGTGTATATATTCGATATATATGTACATATGTAAAAAAACATATTATTTTTGCATAAATTATTATTTTCATGTGGCAATGTACAAAATGTGATATTCCGTTTTCTTCCTTGTTTTTTGCTTTCGTTTTCCGCTTTCGCAAAAGTACCCGAGCAGAGAGTGGGAGAGAGAACAAATAAGAAGAGGAGCGGCCAATAGAGGCCAAATGCAGATCTACGAAGGACAAGGGCAGCAATGTGTGATATACATACATATGTATATGTTCAGTGTTTAATATATGTACATATATGCAGATAAACATATTATTTTAACATAAATTCTTTTTTTTCATGTGCAAAAATCTAAAATGTGTTACTGTGTCGTTGTGTCTTTTTTTTCGTTTGATCACGTGAGTTCCAGCAATGTGTGTGTGTGCTTGCTTGAAAATTCGTCAAGTTCTGTCCCTTTCCCACTCCACGAGGCAATCGTGCAGTGCAGAAGAGAACCAAAGAGGAATGAGAGCTCTCGTTCCAAGTGAAGTTCATGATGGGGTGGGGCAGCCCAATAGTGCTAATCTGACTTTCTCTGCACCCTCTGTTGCCCCACCTTAAATTAAGATGCCTAAAGTTTTTGCGTTGATTATGGGTAAGTGAGACGAGAGAAATTCAATGTTTATACTTTTATTTTATTTCTACATAATTAATTTAAGCGCATATGCAAATGTACTATGCGCATCCCAGGCTGTCCTCCTTCTCCTCTACTCAAAATTGTCGCTTGGCTACGTAGTCTCACGGTCCCGTTTCTTCTTCGGCTTCTTATGGGAGGACAACAGGAAAGCAAGAAAAACGTAGCGGCACACGATTATGAGCCAAAAAGATAAGAGAGAGAAGAGGGCGTTTCTTTTCCGTGTTTTTGTTGTTTCTTTGTTTTTGTTTTTGATGTTCTGTACGTTATTCTCAGTGTAGATCTTTTGCTCACTCCAATGGGCGGGGAATCTCTTCTTCTTTGAGGAGCAAACGGTGAAACTTTGTTTCTTTCGGAACGAGAAAGAGAGAAAGAAAGTGACAATTTCAGTGGCACTTCACCTGCATAAATTCCCACAAACACTCTCTCAATCACACACCAACGTCGAAAGCTAAACAAAATTCGCATTTGGACACCGTACCGTACCGTTTGCACCGGTAATCGAGGACGGAATCAGGATGGGGATGGGTCTTGGACCCCAAAACTCAATTGAACGCTGGGCGCCAAGGTATGACCTATTAGCTAGTAAATCTAGAATTTTAAGCCAGTTATTCCTCTTAGATTTACTAGAAATTTCCCTTCCGTTTTTTAGATCGAATTATTTAGGATTCTCTTAATTAGTAATTGTTTTTGTATTTTGAATTCATGCTTTTTTCTTGTAGTAAGTTTAGTTCTAATACTAGTCTAACACCTACTCTTCTTGCTTGTTCGCGATCGCGTCATGCGGCAGCGCCCCTCGGTCGTTTTGCGTTCTTGCCTGACATTTACTAGCGGGGGTGTGCTCCTTCTCTTTCCCACTATGTTATACCCGTCTCTCATGAGGAGTGTAAGCAAAATTGCGAGAGATTCGCGTTTCGGTCACGTAGCGACTTGTTTTGGCTCTTGACTAGTATTATTATAAAGCCATGTACACTGCTTTAGATATGTTTTTCAATATTTTGTAATGTGGACTATTAGATAAGAAGAAATATTTGAAATTAGGGAGGGTTTTATTCAATGAGAGCTTTTGCCACTCAACCCCCTTATCTGCCCCATAAATGTCCTCAGAATTCAACCACAAATTCAACCCTTTTCAACCCAAATTTCGGACTCATATCGACTTCATCAACTGTATCAAATTTAATCAACTTGCCTGCAACATTTTGGTACCTATCCTGATTATAAATTATAGCATAACGTGCGGCGTAAATAAAGTAAAATTTGTTAATAAAAGACACAGAAAAGAGAGTGAATTCGGTGCAGGATGGCATGAGGGCATGAAGGGGTTCGTTTCGCTTCCAAATTTGCTTATCATCCGCTTTGGCCACGGCAATTACCGTCGCATCCTTTTTGGCCATCCTCCTGTGTGCAGAGCAGGTTATTAAAATTATCTGCAGAGGCTACAGAAAAGAAGAAAATTTCAATTAAAAGAATACAAAAAAAAAAACAAAAAATGAAGAATAAATTAATTTTGAGCTCCCTCTCTCTCTTTCTCTCTCTGTCTCTCTCTCTGGTTCTCTTTGCTGGATTTTCTAATTATGAGCTTCGGCAGCAGCTGCGGAGGTTAAAAGTTGCGTTTTTATGGCAAATTTTTTTGTATTGTTTTTTCAATTAAACTTGACCATGTCAAAAACGGAAGGAGCGCGGACTGGACTGCTTCGCGACATTTTTGATTGCCGCTTTGTGTTTTTTTTTTGTATTCGTTATTTTTTCAATTTTTTCTTCTCCTTGCCACATGTTGCTGACACTTGCAGCAGCTCTGCTCCGGGCTCTATTCCTCTTTTCAGTCGAATTTCTGTTTCACTTGGACTTTGAACTTTGATTTATGATGCTCAATGGCGGAAATTATATATGTGTGTGTGTGTGTGTGTGTGTGTGTGTGTTTCTGCCAGCTCTCTCTCTCTCTCTCCTCTCCGACATTGTCACCTGTTCTTTAATTAAATTTCCCCTCAAGGTCTGAAATGGACTGCAACATTGAGTTTGCTCGCCCTCGCCCTCCCCCTCCTCCCATCCCCCCCAGCGGCCGCCTGTCCGACAGTGTACAAATATCATATCGAAAGGTAAATAAATGCTCCACGCAGCTTTGATCCAATTACCCCGGCAACTATTTACCCAGCATTTAGTTGGTGCCTCATTCACGTTCATTCCACTGTCGGTCCTTTCTCGCTGTTCCTATTTACGCAAACTGATATCTAAACATTTGTGTGTCTGTCCCTTTGGCAGGATGTTCGTGTAAACAAGGGGCCAATGTCAACAGAAATGGTTCACGTAATACTCGTATGGTAAAGTGGATAGCCCATAGGATTGATAGGGGAAG